AGTCATATTTTTAATTTTTTCACTTAGGTTGATTATTTGGTTTATTCAATGTTTTTTTATATTATTTTTATATGTTTTCATTATATTAGCAAGTATCAATTCTTTATATTTTTTAACATCTTTTACCTTTTATAATATTTTTATCATACGTGTTTATTTAGTTATTTTTGTCTGTATTTATTATTTAAATTATTGTTTTTTTATGATGAATTTATTTTTTATTTATTTAAATAAAAAAAATCTAGTAATCATAATCATATAAATATATGTTATTTATATTTTTTCCTGGTTATTACTAATGAGATTTTTTATTTATTCACATAAATAATTATTAATTTATTTAGTTAGGTAATTTTATAGATTTTTCACATGACACTTTTAATTTTTCATGTCAAGAAAACACACTAGAGCAACTTGCTTATATCATATTTTTTTTATTAAAAAAAATATAACATGCATGCTAAATTCATGATTTTTATCTGTTTTTATCTTTTTAATTTTTTTCTCTGCATTTTTTTTGAAAAAATATTATTTTTTATTATTTATATTTGGTCTATTTGTACTATTATTTTTGTTTATTCCTTTTATTAACTTGTAATGTTTTTTTTTTTATGTTTTTTCTTTACACTTTTTGTTTTTGTAAATTTTTTTTACACAAAACAAGGAAATAATATTTTATTGTAGCAATTACAATATTATTTTATTTTCTAGTTATGTTAAACATTAATTTAAAATTTTATTATATTTAAGTGTTGATTTTGTGAGTCATTCGTTATATTTTATATTTGATTTAAAAAAAACTCTAACAATATCTACACATTAATTATTCTATGCTGAAATTATTCGATCCATTCCCAAACAAAAACTTATTAACATAAATAGTTTTTATAAATATTCTAGCTTTAATTAGATTTTTTTGAAAATAAAATTTTAAAAATCAAATATTTATTTTTACTACAAAAATTTATAGGAGCAACAACGCTACTCGCATAACCAGTTGAAAATAAAATTTATAGGGTTCCTAAACTGACTAAGAGCCTGTTTATTATGTGTTTCAATTTTTTTTTGAAAAAAGTTGAAATTTTTTTATTTTTATTTATTTTTAATTAATATATTCTTAGTATTTTTAAATTATTTTAATGTATCAATATCAAGTATTCAATAAGATTGTCCAAGATCTAGACTATAAATCTAAAAATTAGTTTAAATTAATTTTTTTTAAAGTATTTTTACTTGAATATTTTTTCTTAAGATTTTTTTGTTTTGTTATTTATAGAGTTATTTTAATTTTATATTCTAAATTACTGATGAAAATTTTTATTTATTCACATAAATAATTATTAATTTATTTAGTTAGATAATTTTATAGATTTTTCATATGACACTTTTAATTTTTCATGTCAAAAAAACATATTAGAGCAACTTGCTTACATGATATTTTTTTATTAAAAAAAAACATAACTTGCATGCTAAATTCATGATTTTTATTTGTTTTTACCTTTTTACTTTTTTTTTCTCTACACTTTTTTTTTGAAAAAATAGTATTTTTTATTATTTATATTTGGTCTATTTATACTATTATTTTTGTTTATTCCTTTTATTTACTTGTAATGTTTTTTTTATGTTTTTTCTTTACACTTTTTGTTGTTGTAAATTTATTATACACAAACTAAGGAAATAATATTTTATTGTAACAATTACAATATTATTTTATTTTTTAGTCATGTTAAAAATTAGTTTAAAATTTTATTATATTTAAGTGTTAATTTTGTAATTCATCATTATATTTTGTACTTTATGTAAAAAAAAAAGCTCCACTAATATCTACACATTAATTATTCTATGTACTCTCAAACAAAAACTTATTAACACTTTATATTTTATATTTATCAACACAAATAGTTTTTATAAATATTCTAACTTATAATTAGATTTTTTTGAAAATAAAATTTAAAAAATCAAATATTTATTTTTACTAAAAAAATTTATGGGAGCAACAACGCTACTCGCATAACCAGTCAAAAATAAAATGTATAGGGTTCCTAAACTGGCTAAGAGTTTGTTTGTTATGCGTTTCAAAATTTTTTTAAAAAAATTTGAAATTTTATTTATTTATTTATTTTTAATTAATATATTTTTAGTATTTTTAAATTATTTTGATGTATCGATGTCAAATCCTTTTTAAAAAATAAAAAATATCATTAACATATATTTAAACATAAAAAAATATTTAAAAATTAATTTCAACCACATTCTTAAATAAGTGACTGCTATATATATAAAACGAGGACAGGCTACTTCATTGCATGACTCTAGATCTAATTTGACCTTTCAATGCACCGCAAAGGAAATTTAATTTACAAAATATTTTCTTAAAACAATTCACAAGATAACATAGAAGAGAAAAAATAGGAAAAACAAATATGGCGGTGCACGATCCACGTCTATATATATAATAAGCAGAAAGAGCGTTCTAAGTTCTAACCTTTCAGCATTCCATTCACGTGCTCTCGCTGTTTCTTCTCTATCCCTATAAATTCACTCCTAGCTGGAAAAAAACCCGCAAATTTCTAGACAAGATGATTTCAGCCGATCTTGAAGTTCTAGGACAAGGAGGAAAGACCCTAAAACTAACCATCAATCCTGTTGAAACAAGCGAGGCAGCAAACAACACCTGGGAATATTGCAAGACCCCAACCGGGGAGGAACACAAAATACCTACCCAGTACGAGTGCCCTCCTGCTCCAGGTCCAAAGTGGCTTCTGGATTCTCTCTCTGCGAAAAAGAAGGCGTTGAAGAAGAAGTCTAGGTGCCAGCCAAAGGTAGTAATGTTACAACCTTTTAACGTATCTTATTCCAAGCGAATCACTCTGCCTGGGATGCTGCCTGATGATGTTAGAACTTCTGATGTTAGAGCTTCTGATGATGCCTTAGAGGATCACATTGTAAGAAATTTGAAGTGGTCAGTCGAAGAGATGAAAAGACTGCAACATCGTTCATCAATAGAAAAGAAACACGGAACAATTTCTCCCTCGTTGAAGGTTGCTGGGAGAAGGTCATGAAACTCAATGGGTTTTGGATTATCACATCAAGACAGTACTTATGCGTTGTGATATGATCACCACCTTGGTTAGGTTTCTCATTGTTAATTAAAAACTAGATTATGTTTTATTTCGGATCCCTTTTTATAATTTTCTATAGTAATTAATGTTTTATCAGCATCTTAATTTATTCACTTTTTTTTTTCCATAACCGCAGAAATTAAGAAGATGGCATTACCTTTCTAAGCGACAACAAGAAGGACGTGGAGTCTAACACATCCTGGAAGCTGTACCCTTTTTTCTTCCTTGTTATTTTTCCAGCAGTGAATGACACCAGGTATAGGGAGCTAATTATCATGCGCAGAGCCCACTGGTCAAACGGACTTCTTCTTCTTCTTCTTCTTTTTTTTACAGTGCAGGCTGTTTATATGATGGTTATTTATTTAACCTTTTAGATTCAAACCCGGATTATCAATTAGAAAAAATATTAAAATTTTATAAATATATCAAGCTATTTTTTTAAATACATGAAGCTGATACGAGAGTGTAGTACTTTTAAAATCATTTAGAAAGAGATTTGACTCCAATTAATGTATAAGTTGGTCTTGAAGTTAAAAGAAAGAAAGAAAGAAATTGAATTTTCCTTTTCTTTTTTAATTTAATTGTTCAACATAATTATACTTTTAGAATTTTAAATGCCTTGAAATAAAATTTTAATTATTTAATTTTTCATATATCTATGTTTCATGTACTTAAAAAATTAAAAAATAATATTATTTTAACGTATTTCTAAATAAAAAACATTGTAAAAAATTATTATTATTACAATTTTAAATACCTCATGAAAATAATTATTATTATAATTTTAAATACCTCAGTATAAAATTTGGATGTGATTTAATAATTATTTAAGATAATTTGACTTTTAGGTATCCAAATTCATTGTTTTTCAAGCAAGTATAAACATGATGTTATCCTTTTCGTTTGCAGTTGCAATAAAAAAACTATATGTTACTATTGGTGTATTGGTAATTTAAGTGCCATTTTTTTTGAAAACTTTCATAGTGCATATAAAATATTTTTAAAAGTAATCTATCCCTCGTGTATCGCATTTTGATGGTCAAGAATGGTCTTATTATTATGTATTGGTACCATCTCGTATTATTTCATGTACGAGTTCATGACCCTGTATAAATTAATTTATACGAATAACAAGTTGCTCAAAATTCTTGTTATAATCATACAGACCACGAGTTATTATATAAATTATCTTATCATAGTATCATAATTTAGTCTTCTTCTCCGTCCATGATTATACATATGAAAGAATAATTTTATTGTTATTATTTTCGGATTGATTATTATATCCTTATATTTTCAATGAACGTCAAATTATATTACATAACTTCAGTGAATTAAATAATCTTAATTATAATCATAACAAGATTCTTAAGAAAATTAATCATAATTAGATCTTTTTTTATATTTCTGATAACATGAGAAAAAAATCTGGTCATCAATTTTCGAAACAGTATGACTATATGTTTTGTATCTTGAAAAGATTACTTTCAAATCATATGACATATATTTTTCTAGTTCTGTAAATAAAATACCTTACAAAATTTAATTTAAATTTATATAATAAAATATCTTATTAATACACGGATATATACATGAGCTGGCATATAATATTCGACTCTAAGAAAATTAAAACCGGAATTAAAAAAGAAAAAAACTAGAAAAGGAAGTGTTTTTCCAGGGTGAAAGTCTATCAAGACACCGTTTCATACCGTGGTCCAATTGTATTTCTGAAATTGTTTGATTTTTAATAATTTCAAGGTTAAAAATAATTTTTTTAAAATAAAATAAAATATTATTTTAATATATATTTTTGAAAAAATCTATCTCGCTCCAAACTCTAATAAGCAATAAGTGGTAACAGTGATTCCAATAAATCCTGCCTTATTTCTTACGATCTATTGCTTCTCTTTCCTATTCCCGACCCTAACCTTTTTTCCTGAATTCAATTCACGGGAAGAAAAAGAAAAGAAACGAAAAGAAAATTACAGAATCGAAGATCATATGATGATACCAAGCTTGGAAAGGGAAACCCTAAAGGTAAATACTAGTCCAGTTAACAAAGACGAAGAAACAGAGATGACACTGGATTGCAAAACCCCAACCGGGCTGAGACATAAAATACCAGAGACGACATGGGATTGCAAGACCCCGACTGGGGAGGAACACAAAATACCTATCCTGAAAACTTGCCCCCCGGCTCCAGGTCCAAGGTGGCTTCTGGATTCTCTCTCGGAGAAAAAGAAGGCGTCGAAGATGAACTCTGTTGCCGAGCCAAAGGTAATAATGTTACAACCTTTTAAGGCATCCAATTCCCAAGAGAAATAGCGGGTCTCCGATGCGCGCTGAGGGTTATGTTAGAGCATCTCCAATGGAGAAGCCAAACAAAATGCTAAAATGCCTTTTCTCTTCCACAAATTCTATTTCTACATATCTCTTTAAAGAGCCAAAACCAACAAAGTGGGACCTCTAAAAAAATAGACCAATTAAATGTAGACATGTGGAAAAAAAAATAATATTATACAATATTAAGAAATAATAAAACACTTATTTTTTTCACTCCAATATAAATGGCTCTTCAAATGGCTTTTTTTCATTGGAATAGATATGGTAAGATAAGCTATATTTAAACTATTCAAAATGCTATTTTATCAATTTAGCTTTTCAAAATAGCATTTTGGATTGGAGATGCTCTTAGAACTTTGAAGAGTCCAGTTAGAGAAAATTAGAATATTGCAACATTCTTTTCGGAAAGATAGATACAGGGTATGATTTTTCTGGGGTTGCTAGTAGAAGGTCATGAAACTTATGCTGATTAAAAGGACAGGATTGATAGGTTTTGGAATATCACAACGAGGTAGTAATTATGCTTTGAGACATGGTCAACAGCGTAATTAGAAACTGGATTATAATCTTAATTTGGATCTTTTCTTTTCTTTTTTTAACGTAATGTTGTTGTTTTAATCAGCATCTTTATTAAATTATTTTTATAACCACAAGAAATTAAGAAGATTGGTAGAAGTTCTGGGCACACAAAACTTTGCCTGCTATGCTGTGCATATGCGTGTGTAAAAGTGGAACCCAGTTATCACTGGTATTTCTTTTGATTAGTATAATCTTCTGGGAAAGTTTGTTTTCATTTTATGAAAAACTTTTGGGGAAGCTGTTACGTGGCATTTTCCATTTTCTTTCCGAGAATCACCATCATCCAGCCCTCTTCCCTTCAAGTTGATGCCTAGTTTGGCTTGTATTAGATGTCTGGAAATTATTTGTTAATGTTCTCATCTTCTCGGAGGAGCACTGACAAGTGACAATCCATTTTTTTTTTTAATTATTAATCTCCAGGATATCTCAATTAATTTTATAAATTTTAAAATTAATTACTAATTAATCTAATGACCATCAATATTAACAATAATAAGATTTAAATTTGAGATTACAGATAAAACAAACATTTTCATCCTAAATTTTTATAACTAGAATACCTAGGTTGACAACCCAGTTTCTTAAATTGCTGGTTTAGCCCCTGACAAAATAACCGTCGATGTTTTATACTTTATGGCACCTGCAAACATTAGAAGTTTATAGAGGAGGCATGAAGATGCAGCTGGTAATTCTATTGCCTGTGCGGTTATATTTAACGACCAGGTTGATTCTTCCTCCTTTTGATTTTGTGGTGACAATGGAGGATCATAAAATGACAATAAATCGGAATTTCAGTGCTTTTTTTATTAATATTTTCTGTAGAAAATGATTACTGAGTCCAGCATTGTTTCATCTGTCTGGACTATGAAGTTCAATTGAATCGAGGTGTGTGGAGTATGACCAGTCGAGGTACTGTTTTCTTTTCACGAGATTCAAGAGATCCAGTGTTATAAAGTTAGATGGGATTTGCCTTGTGTTTTAAAATTGTGTTGAAAATATTAAATTAATATTTTTTTAAATATTTTGATATATTATTTTTTTAAAATAAAAAATAAATATGAAAAATATTTTAATAAATTTTCATGTAAAAAATACTTTTAAAAAATATTATACAATTATAAATAAATTACAAATGATTAGAAAGGCAAACTTGTCAACTTCAAGCTTCATTCATGCTGGGTTTTATTTTAAATGGAGATTGATCCGGTTTAAATCCAATGATTTTTTGTTTTTATATTTATCTAAAATGATATTCTTTTTTATATTAGAAATCAAAATAATTTTGTTTTATTTTAAATTGACCGGATAAACTTACAACCAAACCGAGTTTAATAACAGATTGAGTCTAATAACGATGAGCAAAAGTGTAGCAGCGAAGACCTATAGAATGCAGAAATCATCACCAGGTATGAAGAACATACAGGGGCAGACAAGATATAGGAGTTGTTTGCAGATTTCATCCATGCTATCAGATGACTAACATGGTTGACTTCTTGTTTGTCAGGGGTTCTGCACAGTGATTTGAACCTCTTCTTGTGTGGGTGAATTTAAACCATTGAAGAGCTGCTTCAGCTTTGCTCTTGAATTTAGAATGCCTCTGCATTTCCAAGGAGCAGCGGCTAGAGTTTTTAGCCACTTGATTGTGTTTCATGAATCTGATGAGCTAGCTGTGTTTTTATTGGTGGAGCTTATTTCTAAAGCTTCAGTAATCCTGTGTAGCTCCACCTCCTTTGAGTTAATTTTTCCAGTGGGGCTTGGAAAAATACCGATGAATTTTCCAGCACCATTATGAATACCTCTCGTGAAGTCCGCAGCATGAGGCTTTCCGATAGATAATCCGTCCACGTTCTCCTTCAGGCTGTTGGCACTTGGAAGTGACCAAACCAAACTCCATACAATCAGAACAAGGGAATCTTGCTTTCTTGCTTTGATATATTAATCTGATTTCTCATGGAACCATCGAAACAAGGGAGCTTGAAACTTATTATGCAAGCTGGAAAGGTGCGATAATTCATGGAACAACTCCGTGCAATTAATCTTTTCGGTGCTTCAACTTTTCAACGCTTGATCTCGCATGAAGAAGCAGCGGGAATCATTTCCATATCTCCCATCACACACGCACACAGTAGTGTTACACATGGCTGTAAGACTTTTTTTTTTTTTTTAAGATTAACGTGGGTGTTCGGGCCAGCTTGCGCGCACCACAACTAATCCCACGGGCCCTGAAGTTAACGACCATGTAAGCTTCCAGTGGCCATCATATGAGCAACTAAGGACTCGAACCTGAGACCACAGAGGGAGCAAACCCTTTAGTCCCAAGTCTTTACCACTTGGCCACCACTTAGATGGTTACATGACTGTAAGACTTGATCTTGGATGTAGTTGATTGAATCTCGAGCAGTAGTTTAACAGGTAAATTTTTAAATTTATTTTTTAATAATTAGGTTTTCTTGAAATTATTAAAAAATTATATAATAATTAATTTTAAAATTCATAAAACTAATAGAAAAGCATACAAATTGGTTTAGACATTTATATTAATAAAATAAAAACTTAATCATAGATAAAATCTTGCCTAATTTTTTTTAAAATTAAAATAATAATATATATTTTCTTAAAATTAAAATAATAATATATATTTTCTTAAAATTAAAATAATAATATATATTTTCTTAAAAAATTAATAAGAGTTCAGTTTGAGTAGATGAATCAGTTTTTTTAAATTTTTTTCAATCTAGACTGGTCGAAGCTGTAGATTAATAAGGTTTTAAATATTCAAAATAATTTTATTTTATATTTAAAACAAAAGAGAAATGTATTCATCTTCTGTAATTAAAAAAAGAATATACGGCACCAGTAAAATAACAAATCATTATTCTATGGAGATAATTGGGATATTAATTTATCAAAACAACATTTTCGTTCGCTTTTTTGACCCCTCCCCTGCCTTGCTTTCTAAAGCATGTAAACAAACACAGCAAGTAAAAGCAAGGAAAAAAAAAAAAATCAGCTTTGAATTCTGTCTGAAAGAGTAGTAGTATTGTGTTAAAGTACTTATTTTATTTAGAATTATATTAAAAAATAATTTTTATCTTTTTAAATTTATTTTTAATATCAATAAAAAAATTAATTTATAACCTCCCATCCTAATTCCCCAATCTACCCCTACCCATCATCACGATTGCCTCTGAGAACACCGCCAGGGGCAAAAGCGTAACTATATTAAATACAAAAATAATTTCATTGTAGTTTTCGTTGATGAACAGTCTGTTTTCTTGTCTCTCCCTCTTTGTTTCTCATCAAAAACTCGATCTACCGAACCAAATCTTTGAAATTAAGACCCAAATCCTGTTTCTGGAAATCGTCTCTGCGTTCCGCTCCTTCTCATTCAATCACTAACGAGGTAATCGTTTTACCAGTTCTAATTCATGATCTGTAAACTGCACGCGCCTTGGTTTTCATTGAATTTTCTCAGATTTAATGGAGGAGTGTTACAGTGATCTTGTGATACTTTTGATCGATTGAGTATTTTTTAATGGATTTATCTGTGATTAATTTCTGGATAGGAAGCCGGATTTGTTTTCCTTTTTGTTTGGTTGATGAGAAAATTGAAGAAAACGAGAGATAAATTTAGATTAAATTCTGTACTTTTTTTGTTATTTAGGTTTATCTGAAATGAAATTTCCAGCTTAGAACTTACTCAAAACAAAAATCAGCTCGCTTAAGATAAATCTTTCTGGCATACTTAGTATTTTGCTCCTCATTTGATGATTATGATGTTTTGGTTAGGTTTCTGAAAAATCGACACCATAACTATCAATATCCTTGAATTCTTAACTTATGGTGATGATTAACGATAATATGGATAATGAGAAACAGATGAAACAGAGCAGAGATGGAATCTGGAGTGATAGAAATTCAAAATCTTCATCAGTTGCCTCCGTTCCCCTCATTCTCGATATAGATGATTTTAAGGTAAGGAATAGATAGTGGAGTTTTTACGTGGAAAATTTGGTATCGTACCTCATTTAGGATCAATTTTTTTTACTTAATGATAAAATTTATATTCCAAATTCATTTTGTAGGGTGATTTTTCATTTGATGCGTTATTTGGCAACCTGGTAAATGATTTGCTCCCATCTTTCCAAGATGAAGAAGCAGATTCAGCTGAAGGTAATATAGGTGGGAGTGATATGTTAGCAAATGGGGATGTGAGAGCCCCATCTGACGCAGCAAAATTGGCGCAAGGGTTGTCTTCTCCCTTATTTCCTGAAGTGGATAGTCTTTTGTCTTTGTTTAGGGATTCTTGTACGGAGTTGATAGACCTCCGAAAACAGGTAGATTGTTGGGAGCATGTGATGAAATTTCTGAGGTCATAATTTTTTTTTTTCTGCTGACATTTTGTTTTTGGATTGAAGATTGATGGAAGGCTCTACAATCTCAAGAAGGAGGTTTCTGTCCAAGATTCTAAGCACCGTAAAACACTTGCTGAGGTGAGTTTTTGGGTGTCTGGGTGCATGTGTTTTGAATCATTGTAAAAACTATACTGGAGAAGAGGTATCAATAAATAAATAAAAAACTGATTTTTATTTCAAAGTAAACTGCAAAAGCTTCTTTATTTTTTATCCTAGATTAGATGTCTACAGCAGATATTCGTGCACGTGCGTGCATGTGTATGGAAGTAAATTCCATTTCCTTTAGGTCGGTGATATTATATAGTAATTACTTGCCATTTGATTTTTAGTGGTTAATGTTATATATTGATTAGATTAAAAGTAAAGCAGAATAGAAGTTGGACAATCGAAAGAATGCATTCTTTTTGAAATAAAAAGAAATAGAAAGAAAAGTAAAGTTGAGAGGTTTAGGCAATATGTAGAATCCAGAAAATTGAGAATGAAAGGTGTGTGGTTTCTTTCATTTTTGGCAAGAGGTTTTTAGGTCTCAAGGGGAATATGGTTGGTTTGGCTCCTCTAAGATAAAATCATTTTGTTCCTCTTTGTTCTGTTTCCAAGATCCATCTAACATAGTTAGCATTTGCTATTTATTTTATCTTTTCAGCTTGAACAGGGTGTAGATGGCTTGTTTGATAGTTTTGCTAGGCTTGACTCGCGTATTTCAAGTGTTGGACAGACTGCTGCCAAAATAGGAGACCATTTGCAGGTAAAATTTTTCCCATGCTCGATTATAATTTGCTAAGCATTCAGTCTATATTTATTTCACGCTTTTATTATGATCTTATCAGAGTGCAGATGCTCAAAGGGAAACAGCTAGTCAAACAATAGAACTCATAAAGGTACTGTCTGTCAACTTATTTTTATGCATTCCTTAGCTCAAAATGCATTAACACCTTGTTTACATAATTTTTGCAGTATTTGATGGAATTCAATGGCAGCCCAGGTGACCTAATGGAACTTTCACCTCTGTTTTCAGATGACAGCCGTGTTGCTGAGGCTGCTTCAATTGCACAGAAATTACGTAAGATGACATTATGTTCTTTCAAAGCTTTGAAATTGCATAATTCTACAACCTCAAGTTCTTGTTATGCTGCATGAGCCTTTTGGACTAACTTAATTGTTTTTCTATATCAGTCATGCATTCTTCTTCTTGTTTTTTCTTTGAGACAGTAACGAGTACCCTTGCAGCTTAGCTGTAGCTTTCCATCTCCTTTAATTAGTCTTCTGTACTTCAGTCCTAATCCTAACTTTATACATTGAATCATTAGATCCACTGCCGCTCCCTCCCTCCCCTCTTATCTGTGATAATATCTTCTTGTTTTAGTACATACTTCTAAACTCATCCAATACTATTGTCACACCAGATTAAATGATATCCTTTTAATCCGACTTGATTGCTAGTAGTTTTAGTCATCTATATTGTCATTTGGATTTTCATTGAAATCTTCTCTTAAAGCATTCCAGGTATTTTGGTTGGATCTATTCTGATGAAATACAAAATTTTTAGTAGATTTGGAATGTTGGAGCTTTTCCATAAATTAAGGAAAATCAATTTGACCCATTCTTTTGGATAATAGTAAGGCATTAGAGTGCTGAATTCACAGTGAAATTTGTTTTAAACTTTGTGATTTATTTAAATAAGCACAAGTAGAAAAAACAAACAAATAATTTGTGAATTGTGAAATTCTTCAATATCAAACAATCTTTTTAAAGATTTATGCAATGACTCTTGTTTGCTTTTCACAGCCATGTGAGTTTTTTGTTACTTTTGTGTTTTTTAGGGTCATTTGCTGAGGAAGATCTTGGAAGACAAGGCTTATCCGTACCATCTGTTATGGGAAATGCAACTGCAAGTAGAGGATTAGAAGTTGCAGTTGCTAATCTTCAGGATTACTGCAATGGTATGGGTTCAGCATATTGTTCTTTTTGATTATTGATATTACTGCCACAGGAAGTTCATATATGGTGCATCAAACAATACAATGATTTAGTGGGTAGTGAAAAATAGTAACAAACTAGGTCCAAATAACAAACGGTATGGTTTAATAATTATTAATAGTTATACCATATATGCTCAAACATCATCAGGTTTGAAGAAAAGGACTAGCTTGTGGTATCATGAGAAAGAATTTACAAATACCCATTTCCATATGGCCTAATCTCCTATTATTTGTGTTATTTTCCATCATAATGAAGAATCTTGGAGTGACTTCTTTCTGCATAGCCTTGTAGCTTGGGATATGTTTCAAAGATTGTTTGCAATTTAGCAATGAGTCTTGTGCGATCCTGAGGACAGTAGAAGAAGCAGTGTTGGATTCTTCTGGGGGGTTTTATGGAGAAAATTCTTAGTTCTTTATGGAGATATGCTGTGTGTGCATTTTGATGGAGAGGAGTGAAGAGTTCTTCTATCATCACTTCACAGAGAGTCGATTGTTGTGGAATATAGGATAGTCTTCTGGGCTTTGAATTCTCATGTCAGCAGGATTCTTTAGGGGCACTTCCCAATAAATGGATTGGGGTGCTATGTTATTTTGATTTAGATGGTTGCCTACTTGCCTTTTCAAAAGATGTTTCTTTCTACAATTTTTACCATGCAATTCCTTTCTTCTAATAATACTTTCTCCTTTTACCCTAAAAAAACTCATTTCCATATTGGCAAAGCAGGAAGAAAAGCTATGCAGATCATGATGCT